ATGGAAATGTTATTTCATAGTTTTATATTGCTATAAAAAGCTTAGTTCAAAGTTAAAGTAATAATTAGGAATTTATAGTATGTTCATGTTATAATTATTATCACCTCTCTCTTTTATTGAGCAATGGTGTTTTAATTTTTATCTTTGCATAAGAAAGTCAGTAAAGAGCATTAGTAAAATATTTGTTAGGTAATTCTTATATTTTTGCATGTGTGTGTGTGGACTCGATTACTGTATAATCTAGGACAGGTATCAGCAAACTTCTGAAAGGGGAAAGTCAAGTTGACAATGAAACAATATAACTTGGGTATCAAAGAGCACATAAATATATGCGTACACTTCTGGGAGGTAATGTCTTCCCCCTTCCGCTCGCGGTTGTGATTAAGTCTGTTGGGCTCAAATTAATATCTTTTAGTAAACATAATTTTTTAAAATAATACATGAAAGCAGACTTCTGCAGAGCCACAATCGTCTATGTAAAGAGCAGTATATGACTTGTGAGCCGTGGTTTACACTCTTGATTTCGGGTAGGATTCTTCGTTTTCCACAGAAACCTGAAGTACCACGAGTCAAAATAAAAACAAAAAGCTAAAGGAAAATTATAAATGTGTGTGCTTAACTCACTGATGGGGGGAAAAATCCCTACACCAAAAAAAACTTGTGTTGTATAAACACGCCAACCAAATTTCGTTTATTAATCTGAAAGATGACACAGTTTTAAATTTTGCGCCCAAATGTGGCGCTCATGGCACGACTCAGAACTTGCAAGTCAGGGTTGCTTTAAATGCATGCTGTAAAGTTCGTGCGCTTTATTTGTCTGTGAAATTTGATGTATTGAGTTGATATTATCCAAGAATGCCTTTAAGAAGACAAAGAAACCATTATCAACAGCTCACCGAATTTGAACGAGGTCGTGTAATAGGGCTGCGAAAAATTGAAATGTATCTGTCATAGGGAAATGACGAAATTATGAATTTGATCAAATCCCTAAAGGACATTATAAATGCACTGAAAATGTTAAATTAACGTATCTTCAAGGTCATTTCCTTGATGAAAGTAAGTGATTTGATCAAATTCCTGAACTGTTTCAGTGAAAAGATGAAATAAACAAGTCAGAACTCGCCAAACCACCAGCAAACGTTTGCATCATAGGCACAATTTTACTTTCTATTATAGAAATGTATTGTTTAGTGTTCATCCCTTCAAACTGGTACTAAGCTACCAGGTCCTTCAGAAGTAAAATAATCCTAAAACATCAGTTTCTGAGGGTGTTTAACAGTTTGAATAAGATTTTGTTTCCTGATGAGTGCACCACTTTGCCTGACAAATTTTGGTCGAAACCCTTGCACAAAAAAATGCGTTTGGTTTTCTTGCAAATTCCAGTGCTTCAATAAGCCTTCGTCGAACTGTCGATGAACCCACACTCACACCAGTAGTTAATACTCTCTGCAGATCTTTGCTTGTTTTGTAAGGATGCATTGAACTATTTCGTACATGAAATTTGTATGTTCGAGGTGTGGTCTTGCGTTTGCGTCTACATTTTCACCCTTTCGTTTTTGGAGACACTGCCCCGAAATTCTTTTGCTGAATAATCCTAGAAGCACTGGATTTTTCAACTCCAACTGCTGTAGCAGTATTTCTCACAGAGATAGAAGTATGTTGACAGGGCCGGCTCTAGCAGTTTTGCTGCCCCTCTCTCTAAAGCAAAAAATTAAAATTAATATATATATACATATTGTCCTAAGAATAAAAAATAATTCTTCGAAAAAAGTTCTTCTGCGCATGCCCTTTATTGGAGGGAGTCTATCTGGGAACTTAGGGGGAATGGATTTCAGGAAACCCTTGTGCCCCCTACAATCTAAGCAGGGCCCGACAAACCGGACCTCTACCCGCAACGGCAAATTTTAAGGGCGGCATTTGAATTGAATTTGGAGAATATTTTTTTATATTACAAAAAAATTGACATATTTTCTGAAATATTGGGTGTGAATTTGGTATTTCATTTAACGTATCGTATCTTATTTCAATTTTGTGCTCTGTATGTTTAATGTCAGTTTTTTATATTGAAACCTGAAGAGTTCGAGATGGGAGCATATGTTAAATCATGAAATTTTATATGTTTACACATCTTTCACTATTAACTCCCATCCAGGAGTGGGGTCACAACGAACATCCCTCTCATCCATACGGTGTCTGGTGTCAGATATCCAAAAGGAAACAAGGGTAATAAGAGTCTTTAGTATATAGAGAGCAGCAGGAGATGTTTTATTTTTGTCTTGAGTGCAGTTACTATAAGTTCAAATAAACGCTTGAGATCCCCACCATCAGTAGACTCTTTTTCGAAGAAATTGGCCTACTGAAATGGACTATTTCTTCTTTTACATTTAATTCGTTTAAATAATAACAGGTAATTATGTGCTAACTTAAAATTATTTTGTGTTTTTGAAGACATATATATATTGTTGAGCTGAATTTTTGTTCGCAAGAATTACTCAAGTTTTATAGGTGTGTATCTATGTGAACAATTTATCCTTTTAAATTATTTTTTGCTTTGGAGAGAGAGGCGGCATTTTCTATTTTTGTCCGGGGTGGCGGGACTGTTAGAGCCGGCCCTGATCTAAGACAGTCACAATGGGCTTTTTATCCCTGACGTCATCAACTGGTTTTTTGTAATAATGTTCGCTACAGAATCCTTGATATTCCCATGTCGACAAGAACCGTTACTTGCCGGTTGGTTGCTTGTGACCTTACTTATTGTTTCCATTAGTAGACTGCCATTGATCACACAGCATAGATGACTGCATTGGCGACGGTGGTGGGCTCAATGGACGACGGAATGATACAGGGTCGTGTTTTCTGATGAATCACTCTTCTGTTTATCAATCTATATGACAGTGGTGCCGATGTGCCCAATCCGGCCGCAACTGTGAAACGCCCCACCAAACGACAATGCGCCGTCAAGCACGATAGCAATTCACCTCTGGTTCGTATTATGGTCATTATGACGACCAAACGACACTTGAATGTGTTACTGTCGAACATGTTCCTTGAAGGGGTGTCTAGTGTTCTTTTTAGCAGCAGGATAACTTCTTACAGCACACTGTGCATATTAGCCCAACATGCAAGATGTACAGATGCTTCCCTATCTACTATTCTCTTATCTAACCTCCCGCAATTGAACATGTCTGGAGCGCTATTAGACGCCGATTGCAAGCCCTGCTGCCGCATTTAGAAGTTGCTGTGGTGTGGTAGTTAGGAGAGGGGGTGCCAGCTCAGGTGTCATCCGCGTCACTTGACCATGGTTCAAAATTACGTGGTCCGTCGCCAAAATGCCATCGTGTAGCTGAACAATGCGACGTTAATATTCACTCACGGCGCATTTAGAAGATAGACTGTGGCAGACGGTTGACAGGGAATGGAGAATTATCCCACAGGACGTTATTCGTACTCTTATTGACTTAATACTTAGACATGTTTCTTCTCGTGTATTATCATCCACGATGGTCCTACACTCTACTGAACTGCCGTAACACAGAATGAGAACAATGAGTATTATTTTTAAGTAAACACAATTTATTATTATTTGCTGTCTCTCATTGAATTTCTTCACTCTCTGACCACTCTTTCTTGGTTTGCATTTTCAATGTCACATATTGTTTTTGTGTATGTGTGTATATATATATGTGTGTGTGTGTAATTTTTGGTAATATATTCAATTTTGATTCTTTCATATCATTTTACTTTTAGAGCATAATAAAAGCTCAAAAATTGAAAACAAACAAATACGTGAAGCAACTATTGGAAAATGACTTTTCTTGTGTCATTTGTATGGATGTATTGATAAAGGTATGTTTTTCTATTTGATTCCCCTTTAATTAATATACTTTTATATTGACTTTAAACTATTTTTTTAGTCAAAAGGAAATTCCAAAATAATTCTTTTGCAGCATCAATGTATCAAAATTTTAATTACTATATTTATTCGAATCTAAGCTGTCCTTTTTCTACAATGTTAATGCTACTGAGGTGCTGCTTAGAATCGAAAGCGGGAAAATTGAACATATTGCAGACGGTTTAATTATGTTTCATGTATCTATTTAATAGTTTTTAATATTGGTAAAATAAATTATAATTATTCTGTCTTTTTTTGTTCTCATATTCCCCCTTTTTTTTTATAAATATCGGATATCGATAAACAATTTTACATTTTTTTATTTTTTCAATATAATGTGTTGAGAATTTGGGGTGTGGCTTAGAATCAATGGCAGCGTAAATTCGAATACGGTATTCGTTTTTAAGTTAATGCACATACATTATATTTAAATTTAATCTTGTAAATGCAAATGGAGAAAATGCTACCGTGTGTATTCATTTTTCAGTTTCTATTTTTAGCTCACTATCTCCCTATATATATACATATACATATATATAACTTTCCTCAGTGTCTCGACAGCCCAGAGTGGGCCTTGGCCTTCTTAGAAGTGTTTTCCAGGCTAGCCTTCTTCCTGCCAATGTTCTCCAATTCTTAGTTCTCAAAACTATGTGATCCTTTTCTAGGCCATCAATCCATCTAAGATTTGACCTGCCCTTCCTTTGTGTGCCAATTGGCTGGGCACTGAAGACTTTTTTAGTGGTGCAGATTTTTTATACAACTGATAGAGCTCAAAATTTGACCTTCACCATGTTCCATTTTCCTGGATTCCTCCAAAAATAAATCTTAAAATCTTCCTTTTGTAAATACTTATTTTCTCATCATCTCAAGACATAGACCAAGTTTCACATGCATAAGTATATATAAATATATATATCATTCAAATTTTCAATTGTTTATAAAATACTTTCTATTCGTCCAAGTTCAAATACATTTTTTAAAACTTGTAGTGGATGACACTTGATGTTAATACAGTTTTTCAAATTGTAATTCATTAATTAATGAATAATTAGTAACAAACAAAAATAACAGTCTAACACCATATATAAAAAGGAAAATTGCTCTTTGTGTCCCTGCTGCGCAATGGGTAGCACATTGGACTTATAATCCAAAGATCATGGGTTCGAATCCCACCTGGGATGGCATAATTTCTGAGAATGGGATCTCTTTTACTATACTATTTTATTAGAATAATTAAATTTAAATAATGAATAAATAGTTACAAACAAAAAATAGTCCAACACCATATATAGAAAGAAAATTGCAAGGAAAATCGTTTTCTATTTTGTCACTTAATATTGTAATTCTTTCATATGTATATACATATTTATATTAATTGTAACTATTTAATAAAAAGTAACTAAAATAAAATTTTTCTTTGTTGACCTAAGTAAGAATGGATATAAATTTTTTTTATATTACTTGTTTCTTGTAAACTCTTGATTAACTCTATTTATATAATTAATTTGAAAAGTCTTGAGTCTTAAAGTTTTTTTTATAATTTTCTTGCTTAAAGAAATTAATTAAAACTGTAAGCAACAGAACATGTTTTTGAGTTTGGTAGGTTTTGGAATATCATTTAATTTGCCTCCAATGTGATGCACTAGTATATGAAAAAGAAAATGTAAGAATTCTACATTGTTGCGAATATTGTTGGAGAAATACATTTTAATTCATGGACTTGGACAGAAAGGTGTTTTAAAACATTTTTACCATTCAGTTTTCATGTAATCACTTTAGTTATTAACGTATTTATATTGATACTTAAAGGCACATGAATGCTATACCCATTTTTAAAGATATCGAACTTTAATTTTTGGAATTGCTAAATATTAATGACAAGGTGTAGAACGTAAGTATACGACAGTATGTCTAGTAAACAGCTGAGAAAATGAAATATAAGAAAGAAAAAGTTTTTCATATTGTTAAAAACTGCTATGTCCAATATTAAGATAAATCTAATGTGCACATCCACTTTTAAATACAACTGTTGGAGCATGCATGCCAATGTCATGCGCACTAATGTAAATATTCTTCCTTGCCGCTCTGTAGCGGCAGATGACAACTTTCTGTGGAGCAAGCTTGATGAGAATTTTCTCTGTGATACACTGACATGAGCATTTAAAAGGACTCTCAATATTCGAAGCTCACATTAATAAAATAATTAAAATTTGCTGCACTTGTAAATAGCTTATAGATGTTGCTTGGTTGAATAAAAAGTAAAAAAGAAACAAGCATAGCTGGCTCATCAATGAAATAAAACAAACTAAAATAAACATTCTGGATCCGCTCATGCCAGGAGCGATCAGTGAACTGTGGAATTACAAAAGATTAAAAAGTACCTTAAAAGTAAAATTAGAAGAATTGAAACTTTTATCAAAAGTGCCAACAAAGAAACCAATTCGGTTGAATTAAAAGTGGATCTTAAAAATGTGATAGCACTGCAAAAAAAATGTGGAGGAACTTAATTCCTCTAAGAAATCAAGTTCTGGGGCAGTAATGAAACCAAATGATAATTTCGAAATCATAACTAATATACCTCCTTTAGTTTTACCAGAGTTCTTTGGAAAATGTGAAGAATTTAGTTCCTTTAAAGTCCAATTTGACGATCTGATCACAAATAATATACAACTGAGTCAGTCTCAGAAGCTGTACTGCCTCAGATCTTGTTTAACTCATGAAGTTAATTATTTATGCAGTAATTTTGAAAATTTTGATTCCTTATATGAATTTTTAAAAAATAGATATGAGAATGAACGTTTAATAATCAATATTCATTTTCAAAATATTTTGAAGTTTGACAAAATACAAAATGAAAATTCCACAGAAATTAGAAATATGATTGATTGCATTCAGAAAAATTTACGTACATTAAAAGTACTTAAATATGAGCAAAATAAATAATCTGATCTACTTATTAATATTCCTGTTGAGTAACTTGATAGAGAATCAAGAAGAAATTTTGAATCATCTCTTAAATCCAAAAATGTTCCAACATTTGAGCAATTCTTGGATTAGCGGGAATCCGTTTTATTGTCTATTGATAAAAATCCTAAAGTTAACACAAATAAAATGATATGCCAACAATTCTAAGCCAAAGGCTTTCATAGTAAATAAAAATAAAATTGTATAGGTGTAAGTCACAACATCCGATATATAGATGTCCTAATTTTTTAAAATTCAGTATTAATGAAAGACTTAAATTCATTCGTAAACACAAACTTTGTTATTTGTTCTTAAAATCCAACCATATTCAGATGAATTTCCTTTCCAAATACCGATGCAAATGCCGTGACTCACACAGTCATTGATTTCTACTCAAAACTCTTCTAAATCGAAAATAAAGAAAACCCTTTAGTCATCCATAATGGAAATGAAAAATAATATTGCGAAATAGTTAATAAGAATTCTAATCGCAATACTCCGGCATCAGTGTTAAGTAATAACACATGGCCTGATCAAACAAATAAAAAAAATGTTCTGTTTTTGACTGCTGAAATTTATGTTCGAAATGCAGATAATCAAAGAATAAAATTAAGAGCTATACTTGATTCTGTGAGTATATTTGTGTACTCATAGAAAGAATGAGTAATTGCTTAGGAATAAAAAAGCACAAAATAAAGACACCAGTATATGGTTTAAATGGATTATCACAGAACATAAAATGGAAATTAAAAACAATTATTTCAAACGAAGATAGTAGTTTTACTGAACCAGTAGATTTCTTGATTGTAGACAAAATAACTGAATTTACACCCTCGTCAAGTTTAGATATTTCTAATGTGGAAATTCTACAGTTTTTAATTTTAGCTGACAAATCGTTTTATGAAGCAAACGAAGTTCACGCTTTGAGTAGTGCTGATATATTTTTTAAAGTTTTAAAACAGAATACGTGTAAAGTAAATTGAAGAGTTGTTTTTCAAAGAAAGCGAATTTGGGTGGATTGCATGTGGTTAATTTAGAAAGAGAAATAGATGAACAAGGACAGTGTTTTTTAGTAAACAATGACTCTCTTCAAGATACTTAAAAATTGTTTTTTGATTTAGAGGGCTTTGGGGATATGAGATGATCCAGTTCTTCACGAAAGGATCAAGCTATGGAAATTTTTAATGAAACTGTTGAATACGAAAATTGCAGTTATATCGTACAACTTCCCTTTAAAAAATCTTATAATGAATTGTCTGATAACTATCCCCTAGCTAAACAACGTTTCCAAAATTTATGGAGAAGATTGGTCATGATTCGGAATTATATTAGCAATACTGGAAATCATTCGCGATTACACAGAGCAGGGTATTATAGTAAAAGTTAAAACAGAAATTACAGAAAACAAGTGAAAAAGACCTGCATATTATTTACCTCATCAGGCCGTAAGAAAAGAAGGTCACTTAACGTCAAAAAGAAGAATTGTATTTGACGCTGGAAGTCATCAAAATAATGAACTCTCTTTAAATGATTGCTTATGGCTAGGAATTAATTTAAATCCAAATCTCTTAGACATTAATTAATTTTAGATTGAATGCAGTAGCCTTTTGCCTGATATTAAACAAGCTTTCTTACAAATTTCTTGCTAACGAAACACAAAGATGCAGTTCGATTTCTCTGGAGTGATGACGAACTACGTGTTCATAAAAGTCCAAACTACAGGTATACCGTTTTAATCGAGTAAATTTTGGTGTTCAAGTCCATTTTTCCTGCAGCCACGATTAGGCATCATATTGAGAAATATAAACATGAACTCCTTGGCACTGTAGAACTTTTAGATAGAAGCTACTACGTTGGCGATTTTATTTCCAGTGGTAACGCTTCAAACTTCACAAAGAGCAAAAAATATTATGGAAGCTTTTGGAATGTATCTCCGAAAATGTATTACTAATGATGCTAATTAAATGGAGCAATGAAAGAAAGAAAATTTTGATGTACGTCCTGTACATGAAACTGCAAGCTTAGGCGCAAATAAAACAAAGGTCCTAGGACTGTCATGGAACACCCATGATGATTACTTGACTACAAATACTAAAAATTTTTGGAATTTGTTTCCTTAGATAAAAATATGAAACGCTTCATACTGCAAGCAGTTGGAAAGATCTTTGACTCATTAGTGTTAATTTCTCCTTTTACCATTAGAGTGAAATGCCTCATTCAAGATCTCTGGAGAGAAGAAATTCAATGGGATTACCCTTTGCCAACACACATTGAAAAGGAGTGAAAAAAATGGTTGAGGAACTACCCCAGTTACGAAGTCTAAAAATACCCCGACTACTTTTAGATTCGACTTTGCTAGAAGATGATGTTGTGTTGCATAGCTTTTGTGATGCCAGCAAAAAGGTATATGGTGCAGCCATATATTTGAGAACTAAGTCAAGGAATGGAATTTCTGTTAAACTTGTGAGACTTCAAAAAGCCGTGTAGCACCATTAAACTGTGTCGTCCTGCCTAGACTAGAATTACTTGGAGCTCTAGTCGCTGCTCACCTAGCATCTAAGGTGAAGAAAAGATCGTGAATCATAAAAGATCCTGTTTACAATATCACTGGACTGATTCAAAAATAGTTCTGTTTTGGATAAAGGGTAACAAAATCTGATGGAAACAATTCGTTGCCAGCCTAAATAACCAGCCTAACAGATCCCCACTCATGGTACCATTGTGCTGGTAAAGAAAACCCAGTAGACTTCCTCTCTCGTGGACTGAGCGTGACTGTCTGGTGAAAAATTCCAGGTGGTAGACAGGTGCAGAAATTTTGTCCGATCCTGAATTTCCTAAAAACTTTCAGCTAAGGGTTCCTTAGTTAGACTACCTCACAGAACATGAGAAAGAGACTGCAGTTCAAGAAAGGAAAAAATTGCTTGAAGCTGAGAGAAGTGAAGAGACTGTTGCTGAATAGCGATTCCTCTAGCAATGTTGACAAATTTTTAGAATTTTTTAATTATTTCAAAGTTATTAATATTTTAAGTTTAATAAGTTTTTCAAGTCTTATATTTTCATCTACAACTGTAGAAATAAGTCTAAGATGGTTGAGCCTCTAACTGTAGCCGAATTCTAGGAGTCTGAAATTAAATATATTAAGCATGCCCAAAGACCCTTGTTTGATAAAAAAAATTCCAAGTAATATTTCTAACTTATTTCCATTTGCAGATGGGGA